GCTGTGACCCCCAAATTCCACCGCATGCGGGACGGCGGCAAAAAGGCCATCAGCGCCGATCGCCGCTAATTGTTTCCATTCAAGTCAATATGTTAAACTCCACTGGTTTCTTTCTGGCCCCCAGCAATTCGGCATGCTTCGTACCCAGTCGCCAGGGTTCTATTTTTTCTGGACGCCGCAGCATGCCTTATAAATTCAGCACAGATTAGCCTGTGCTGGAAAGGAAGTTGGGCACAGACACAAAATAAAACATCCAGCCTCTTTTCAAAATAAAACACTTTGTGTTTCAGGTGGATCGTATTTCACACCATGCAAACATGGGCGGGGATGAACAAGTAAAAGGTTTTCGGAGGTCATTTCATCCCGTTGACACCATCCATGAGGAGATGCTGATTCTGGAAGTCCAAAATCACAGAATAATCTATGACCCATCTCTTCCCTTATAGAAGGACAATCATAAAAGGATATCGCATCCTCTGGAAGAACACAATCTGCTGCTTATATGGTTATGTGGCTGTCTTTATAGAATAGGTAGGATTTGGTGGACAGCAAAAATCACTGCTGTTCCACAGTGGTAGCGTTACGAATGCAATGGAATTTTGGGGTTAGCGTAGTGGTCTAGAGGTAAAGTAGGGTACTACGAGCTCTTTAAGCCATGAAGAGCTTTATATGTCATATGACGAATTTTAAACTTAGTTCTAGATTTAATAGGGAGCCAATGAAGAGAGGCAAAGACAGGACAGATGTGCTCTCTTCTTCTAGTTCTAGTCAGTACCATATCAATGATCCTATGGATACATTCATTGGTGAATCTGAGTTCTCTTTATGGCTGTCTAGATTCATTTTCTGTTTTTATTTATTATTTTATGGGTTTAACATTCAGGCAAAGGTTGTGGTTCGAGGGAAATGATTTACTTCATCAGCTGGAGACACTGTAATTTATAATCTGTGGTTCAGTGTTTAACAGTCCAACATCAGTCTTAGTGAGAAGCCCCTCAGAGAAAAACAATCTCATTCAAATCAGTTTCACAGCTGAAAGGTCAAAAAAGACTTTCAGCTGATCACTTAAACTCAAACTAAGAGCTGGTAGACTCCTGACATCCTCTTTCAGCTCCATGTTGGATGAGTCTATTCCAGGAAAGTGTGTTTGTACATGAGGAGGTGTTCATTCATTCGTTTGTGTGAATGCAGGAGTGTTTGTGGTTGTAATGGACAGTTTGACTTGAGATGGAGTTTATTTGACCAGGAGCAGAATAAAACTCCCCACACTAGTTCAGTCAAATTATAAATTGTTATTATTAATTTATTAGGATGGACTGCCTTTAGCCAAAAGGGGCGAGGTCATTTTTGTGAATGTGAAATGACCTTTGACCTTAAGGATGAGCAGGTAAAGATGCTCTCATCCCTAGCTGCCTGTCTGATTATTTGATCATATTAACACTCTTAGCAAGTGTGTGTGTGTGTGTGCGCATGTGCTATGCTTGTGTGTGTGTGTGTGTGTGTGTGTGTGTGTGTGTGTGTCAATATGTTGTTGCTGATAGCACTCTGGGGATGAACATTGTGTTTTTGTTTCCCATCAATTGCAGCTCAGGATTCACTTATCTGCACCAGCACAGGAGGCAACAGATTACACACACACACACACACACACACACACACACACACACACACACACACACACACACACACACACACACACACACCGAAACCTCAGTTTCACTTTATGTAAAGAAACGTTAGAGAAAGTGGTTTTTCCTTAGAAACAGACCCCCAACATCACACACACACACACACACACACACACACACACACACACACACACACACAAAACCCTTGTGGCTTTTATGTAACCCTGGTGTTAGCCCTGGCGGCCTCTTAGAGATGACTGTTGCACAAACACAGAGACTCCCTGCGGCTCTGATTCCCGTCACACTGATGGATTTTTGGCGGTTGTGCTGTTGCTGTGCAACGCGTAATCAACTGTCAGGGCTTCATGCACAGACAAAAAAATAACATCAGCTTAATCAGATCACACATTGACATCAGCATTTTGTAAAGCGCCATGTAAATAAAATTCCTTATTATGATTAGAAATGTTATTTTATGTAATTTTAATTTGGACATTGTGTCGGATTCTGACTGCCTCTAAAATCTGTCGCCTCAAAGTTCTCCAAGATGAAAAAAATATATATATATTTTCCATTCAGGTTTTGTTTGATCCTACAAAAAAATCACTTTTGTTTTGCCCACAGCTGAACTTTTCAATCAGGTCAGGCTGCCAAGACAAGTAAAGAGACGTCACCATCTAATTTTGTTAGTCTGCACTGACATATCTTCAGATTTCAGAGGGGCTGCAGAGAGTTTTCAGACATCCAGTTCTTGATTCTAGTCTGAGAGGTGACGATGTGAAACCCATCAGTGGTGCCAGGTTTTAACGCGGCACTGATCTGAGTGCCATCTGCATAGCAGTGAAAGTCCATACCATGCCTTTGCAAGATTTGCCCCAGGGGTAGCATGTAGATGGTAAATAAAGGGGAACCAAGGTAGACCCCTGGGGGACTCCACATGAGAGAAGCCTTTCAAAGCACTACAGAAAAAATAAGAAACTGTTTGACAGACGGGAAAGGAACCAGTCCAGCACCACATCATTAATTTCAACCAGGTATTTCAGACAGCTGATTAAGACATTGTGACTAAATAACTAACTTGGACCGCTTCTTTGTAAATTGAAAACTGAAGTCCCTGGTATTTTTGTATGAAATGCATCTGAAGAAAGGTCCCCCTCTGGCCAAGGATCATAAAAGGAACCCCAACAGTGCTGACCTCTGCACCATCATGCAGCCCCCTCTTTTCTGTATTTCAGCAGCTAACACTGTGGCCGTCAAACTGTCCTTGAAAACCTTGAAAATACATCCATATGTAGAAGCTGAACTAGTGTTGCCATCACGCTGACCTCTCTTGTCTTTCTTTACACTCATTGTTAGAAACAAACACACTCTGTCCTCCTAAAGCCATGCACATCAATTTGCCTTTGTCTGGGAATGCATGCCATCCCCACACACACACACTTGGGAATCTGGTCTGTAAAGTGTGTGTGTGTGTGTGTGTGTGTGTGTGTGTGTGTGTGTGTGTGTGTGTGTGTGTGTGTGTGTGTGTGTGTGTGTGTGTGTGTGTGTTTGGATGTATATCGTGGTAAATACATTACAGATAACTTCCGTTCTTAGGTCAGCTGATGCAGCCTGAAGATCTGCATAGCAGGATAAAATGTCCTGACCCCTGTTTGAGGACAAAGAGGATCTGAACGTACTGTTCTGCACTCAGCTATACAATAACAGTGACCACATCCTTCTGATTTCATTTATAGTCCAGTCCGCAGTTGGTCCATGGGAAGAAAGACCTAATTAAATAGGAGAAGTCTGCTCTCTTGCTATTAAATTACCATCCAAAACAGACACAAATCAACAATCTCAAACCCACAGCTTCCTGCTGAAGCTCACAGATGCGTAGTTGAATTTTCAAAAATACGTTCATCTGTTCACAGGGCTGCACATCACCTCTATCAAATGACACCAAAAGGAGGGGGGGGGGGGGGGGGGGGCATTGACTTAACATTACTTCTCTCACAGTTACTCGGTTTTGTCAGTTAGTGTGTAAGGATGCAACATTTCATTAATTCCACTCGTGTTGATACGTAAATGTCTACACATCACTCCAGTATAACAAAGGTATATTGGGAGGTGTCCTTATTAAATCAGAAGACAATTATTGGATGCATAAGACTGAACAAGTATTAGTCCACGGGCCATACGAGATGTTGCTACCACTCAAGGTGGCAAAGGTTACTTATCATTTTGAGAAGCTCTGTCTGTAGATAATATCTTGGTATGATACCCCTTCCTGAGACACAGCTAAATTGGTGTTATCAGCTGCTAAAGTTACCCTTCCCCATTGATATGCAGTGGGTGCATATCTTGGTATTGGCTCATGTTAAGGACATATTGCAATGTTCTTTATTATAGTGGTTGGTGTCATTGTTAAGAGGACACTTTGAGCTTTCATTCAAGCCCTTTTGTGTATATGTGGGACAAGTACAGTGGTTACTGGAGCTCTTCAAACTTTTAATAAAACATTTTTTACACAATATCCGCCTAAATCATATTATTTCTTTTAGTCCCGTGCCATCAAGAAACATCAGAGACACAAAACACCATATCTGGAATACTGACATGACCCTAAGGATTCAGGAAATGTATAGTTTACCTATAATATGTCATTCTGAGGACTGATTTTCAGCCTTATATTAAACAAGCAATTTTAATGCGAAACTAATCAGACCATAGCAATTACAACACAAGTATTTGTTAATAGACAATGACAATACAGGATAATGATTTATGTCACAGTGAAGTAACAACTATAACCAGACATGGATAACATTAACATTTACATAAAGTAATTGTGATATTAATTATTTTCCTTGTATCAAGCTCTGAGCATCGGAATAGCCACACAATTCACAAAGATATAATCAATAATCAAGAGTCAATAATTAAGGGGGTTTATTTCTCATTATCAATGTCCTCCAAAGTGCTGTGCTACAACAACATGCAATGATAATCATAATAACAAAAAACAACTAAGATAAAATAAATTAAATAAGAAGAAGCCTTCAACTGGCATACACATGTGCAATAAGACAGCTAATGGTTTTTTCCTTGTATGGCTTTTTCTTTTTTCTCTTTTTGTCTCTTTTTTCCCCAATGTCAAGCCTAGAGCCTTTAAACTGGTCTTCAATTTCTTCATCTGACTCCCTAAGTTCAAAGTCAGGTTGTGGATCATCTGCCTGTTTTTGGTTGCTGCATGTCTGTCAACCTGCACATGTCTGTGTAGGGAAGTCCATTTGACAGGCACGTGCAATCTGGCAGTTTGCACAAACGCACACATCTGCATCTGGTGCAGGTGGGATCCAGTAAATGGCCAGCTTGCCATCGATGTCAGTCCATCCATGAAGCACAGGGCTTGGCACAACAGGAGAAGCTTGTAGACAGCGGTTCCAGATTTCTGCCTGGTAGTTTGCCTGTTTAATATGCATGTAGAGACAATCTCTACATGGTGGCAGCTGGCTGGACTCGATTTCTCCCCTTTTTGTGCAGAACAGTTTGCCATTTCTAAAACTGGTGCATGCTTCGGTATCTGAGCTGCCCTGAGAAGAGTTCTCCAGGAGTGAACACTTTGAAGTGAAACCAGCTTATCTGTGTCATCAGAGCAATGGATAATGCATTCCATTTTTGGTTGCTTTGGTAATGGGCTGTCATTTACTTGCTCACTGGTGACAATGATCAATCAGTTTTCAACTAGAAATATAAACATCAGAAATAATCAATCAAAATATATCCTAACTCATTTAACTACATCATCTTTTCATCTCAACAATGATTCAAAGCTTATTGAATGTAAAATTAGTATTTTAAACAGAAATACAGAACTATTACTACTTACCTTTGAAAATGAGTATGAACAAACAAGCATGTATCAGTCATATGCCAAGCCATTACCTACAGTCTGCATCAGTGCAGTCTACAGAGAAATACAACAGACATAAAAATACTGTATGATAATTCCAAACTAACTAAACAAACACACACTTGTACAACATTAAATTGGTTCAAATGAGTTACCTGAAACATGTTTTCATAGCTTGCCTGAGACATCACATCAATGCACCAAAATGTTTGCCAGCATGGCAAAATTATCTCAGCCGGAAAAAAAAAGAAAAAAAAGGAAAAAAAAAAAAAGAAACAGTTCAGCAATTTAACCTGAAAAAACGTGGTCGATGTGAGGTGTGTGAGACAGTAACAAGATCGAAAAATGCACACAATCTTTTAAACATGCAGTACCAAGAGCGGATGAAGATGTGTAGCAAAAACACAAAAGGCAAACAAAAATAATTACATTTAACACTTATTTTTGTCACCGACTCACTCATTGGCAAGAAAAATGCAGCTACCTGGTAAGCTAAGCGGTGCAGACTGAACTAAACATTCAACACAGGTGCATGTTTAATTAAGCATCTTAACAGGTGCAACTAATTAACCCATGCCTATAAGTTATTTGATCATTTACTCCTTCTTTTTGGGACTGTTTGCTGTTCAGTTTTTCTGGGACTTAGTTAATTGTCATTTATGAATTACAGTATTTACAGTATACCTGGATGAGTTAGAAATATATGTATTTATATGATGAATTATATAACTAAATGATATCAATCTCAAATTACATCATATCAATGTGTCACACATTCATGTGTCAAAATGAAATAATGTTTGTGACCTTCATGGCTTTGGTCTGTTTACCTCCTAAAACTGTTTGTCTAAAATAAGGCTGAAAATCAGTCCTCAGAATGAAATATTATAGGTAAACTATACATTTCCTGAATCCTTAGGGTCATGTCAGTATTCCAGATATGGTGTTTTGTGTCTCTGATGTTTCTTGATGGCACGGGACTAAAAGAAATAATATAATTTAGGCGGATATTGTGTAAAAAATGTTTTATTAAAAGTTTGAAGAGCTCCAGTAACCACTGTACTTGTCCCACATATACACAAAAGGGCTTGAATGAAAGCTCAAAGTGTCCTCTTAACAATGACACCAACCACTATAATAAAGAACATTGCAATATGTCCTTAACATGAGCCAATACCAAGATATGCACCCACGTCTAAAATGCCATTTTTCAATGGGGAAGGGTAACTTTAGCAGCTGATAACACCAATTTAGCTGTGTCTCAGGAAGGGGTATCATCCAAGATATTATCTACAGACATAGAGCTTCTCAAAAATGATAAGTAACCTTTGCCACCTTGAGTGGTAGCGACATCTCGTATGGCCCGTGGACTATATCTACTACTACACTCTTAAAATAGTGGACACTGTTGTTTGTATCCAAGACTGGAGAGATGATTTCTTATGATCCAGAGGCTTTTTAATCTGATGTATAAGAGCATCTCTGTTCCCTGAGTCTAGATCTGAGAAAGGAGGAAAGCTGATGGACCAACAACAAAGTGCATCTTGGGATGTGGATTAAAAGTTAATGATGACCTGGTTCTGTGTTTTTTTTTTCTTTTGTTAAAATTTATTTGTTTATTTTTCATCAATAACATGAGAAATTATCAGTACTTCCACTGAGGTTCAATGGTCTAATGACCTGACATGACATTTAAATCAGATCACTGCTGTTAAATCCAGCCCAGCCTAATCCAGTTCTTTCCAGTTGAATTCACCCAAACCAAGCCAACCCAAACCGGTCCAATCCAATCTAATCCAGCTTTTTCCTATCTATAGCATTTTTAATCTAAACAGGCATGTTACCAGTAGTGGTTAACATAAAACAGACTGAAAATAACGACAATGATAAACAAAAACAGAACATGAAACTGTACAAATGAAAACTGAGCGCTCCGGGAATCAGTAAAGCCTGCAGGACTATGCTGCTGTTTGGACTGACAGAGATCACCTTTAGGCCGGTTGCCAACAAACCCTGAAATCTGTGCTGCTGATTTTTAATTTTTTTTTAAGTGATGTGAAGTGAAGTGATGAAAACTGAAGAAGAGCAAAAACACACACAGATGCACACACAGCCCTGGAGAAAGTGCAGCAGGATGCAGTTTTCCGTGTTCCTGGCAAAGCTGTGGTTACTCCCTTTGATGACTACCACCAAGCATGCCGAACTACACACACACACACACACACACACACACACACACACACACACACCACATTAAAGGCTGTTCCCAGAAGGAATGTTCTTCCTCCTCCTCTCCCAGCAGCTGACGGAGGTCAGACGGGCGCTCGCTCCCATTAAGCCCCCAGAAGGAAGAACTCCACCCAAAACCACTTAAACCCTCCAAACCAGCTGCTGGTGGTCTGCCTGACATGTTTGCGATTGTTTGGTGTTTTTGCTATATTGTTCTTTGTCCCGGTTCTGACGCCAAGTCAAGAACTTTCCAGTGTTGGTAGAAATTGTTCCTTCACTCTGAAACAATGTGGTTTGTCTGGGTTTGGTGCCAATTCTATATTTAGTATCGACGCTCCTAACTTCTGATAAATGTTTATTTCTCTCCTGAAGCCAAGTGAACTTAATGACTTTTATTGTCAGAGTGATTTTTGTTCCTAATCCAGGCACTAAGGTGCGAAAAACAGGACCTACCCCGTATCGTTTCTTTGGAGACAATCCAGTCCATTTAAGTCCAACCAGTGAAAACAAGACCAGGTTTGCCATCAAACTTTCAATATCTCCATCTGTGAAGTAAAGACGACTCTTTGTGGACAGGCTGATGGGCGTCGGCCTCATCTGTACTGACTGTGTGATATAACCTCTCTTGTGTCTCTGCCCTTATGTGTGGTCTGTCTTTAGAGTTTCTGTCTTTGGAGTTTCTGGGCTGAGACACAGTAGATGTGGAGAAGATGGCAGCTCTCTTCTTCAGTTTTCAGCTGTGTTGTAGTCTCCTGTGTATTAAAACCATCCTGCAGATATAAAACCGATGACTGGCTGTGGATGATTCTTCTCAGTGCAAACTTAAACACAACTCTTCAAACTTAAACATTAACAGTCAGTGTGTGTGAGAGAGGGTGTAGGTCGGTTATTACACACTTTAGAGAGATCCTGAGAGGGCTGTAATTTCAGAGGAATGAAGGGAAGACAAATCTCTTTCTCTGTGACCTCAGTCCCCTTTGGTACCAACAGAAAAAAAATCATTTTCAGTGTTAGGTTACATTGCTAAAGATGGGACTCCTTAGGTCAGGAAACTACTGGTACTCAACAGAAACAGGGCAAAGGTTGTAGCTTTGCCTCTTATTTGCGTCAATTTAAAAATGTGGGAGCACGATCCTTCTCAAGGGACAACTTTGTTACCAATATCAGCCCATGTTGTTGAATTTTTAAACAGTTATTAGCAAAAAGAGAGAAACAATCTGCACACTTCTGGTCTGTTGCAAAAAGAGCTTCACTGAAGCAAGCTTTCGGTCAGTTAGACCTTCATCAAGGCAGAGTGCAGGTTACAAACAGTGCTAGGGGTTAATATGCTTGATTAGCAGCACCTGTCAGCGGTGAAGAGCATCATGGGAAATGCAGTCTGCAAAGCATGAAACAAACAGAAAGGAAAAAAAGAACAAGTTCATGCTGTGTACACATCAGGCTTTAGCCATCATAAAACAAAGCACAAAAAGTTCAGAATTAAATAGTTAAGTTATATAAACACACTCATGTCAAAATCCTCGTTTAGACCTGATGGTTGTAGTGCATCTAAAGTTTAAACCAAAAATAGTTCCCATTGGCATAATTTCCTGTCGACATCACCCCCTCTGTGTAGGGTTACTTGTTCTATACCCCGAAATCTAAGGGAATAGAGAGGGTGTGACAGATCATTAAAATGACAGGCAACAGGATAGTTTTCATCTCTTCTCCTAATGGGGCTCTTATGTTCACTTATCCTTTGTTTCAGAGGGTGGGTGGTTTTACCAATGTAAATTTTGTCACACAGACAGGTCAACATATAGATAACATTTTTTGTATTGCATGTTATTATTCCCCTGATTCCAAAGCTTTTACCGGTTCTAGGGTGCTTAAAGGTATTTGTTTTCACTGAATTGTGACAATGAGCACAGTTTCCACAGGGATAATTCCCGTCTTTGATAGGAGATAAAAAAGTTTGTTTTGGAGGGGGTAAGATGTTGGCTCTGACCAATTTGTTACGGAGGTTTGGTCCTCTTTTGTGAACAAAGAGAGGAGGGTCCTGAAAGAGTTCAGACAGGGCTGGATCTGTGGTTAGAATATGCCAGTGTTTCTTAATGGTTTTTTTGATGATGTGGGCCTGAGGAGTGTAAGTGGTAATACAAGAGACTGAAAAAACTTTTTCTTTTTTTACACTTTTTTTCAAAAGGTCAACTCTGGACTTAGAAAAAGCATTCTGATATGCTTCATCCACACACTGAGCAGTATAGCCCCGTTCTAGAAACCGCTGTCTCATTTCTACTGCCTTCTCAATGAAGTCGTTGTCAGAGTGGCAGATTCTTCTTAGCCTATAGAATTGGCTTTTAGGTAGGCCATTCTTTAAAGCTCTAGGGTCCACATATCTAAGAAAGATACACATGATTGGTTATATTCTAGGGTAAATTTTAAATCAGGATTACAGCTATTCAGATATGTACCAAACGCAGACAGTTCTTCACTTGTTCCTTGAAATAAACATAAAACATCATCTAGGTAACGATACCATTTAAGGATTTTTTGACTGAAAGGGTTTAAATCTGGGTTAAAAACAAACTTCTGTTAAAAAAAACCCACATATAGGTTGGCGTAATCCGTAGCAAAGGTAGAGCCCATAGAGGTTCTTTCAGTTGTAAATAGAATTCCCCTATAAAAGAGAAGTAGTTTAATTTCAGAACCATGGACGCCAATTCAATGATAAAGTGACTTGGTGGGGTATCTGTACAATTTTTAAGATAGAAGCCTAGGGCATCTAGTCCCCGGTCATGTGATATATTTGTATAGAGGCTCTCCACATCTAAGGTAACTAACAGTATGTCAGCGGGTAAATCGGTGATGGCGTTGTCATCATTTCACAGATATCCCATTTGTCAATTGTTTGGGGATATGACGCTGTAGGTCACCCAGGAGATGACGCATTGTTATCTGGATAATTGGGAGCATGTTACCACCTTTCCAGACGTAGGCAGACACACTTCTGTCACTAATTGGATTCTTGCCCAGATCTTTTAAACTGGGACAAGGACAGAAGTCCAGTTAAATCCAGTTAAACCCCACCTGGAAACAGCGCCCTCCAGAGCCCCCCCTCTGAGACCCTCGCCCTCACCATCCCCACCACCGGCTCCCCCCAACAGGCCCCAACTGGTACTGCACACCAATCCCATCGCCTCCACTACAGCAAGCTCCCCCTCCCGTCCCAAACTGGTACTGCACCCTCC